AAACTTCTTCCACTCATTTTGCATCTTGTTGATAATACACCTTCAAATGTATACCGTATATACTACATTCTTTCAACCATTATAGCTATTTTATTGAAGCTATCTCAACTAGCGCTGAGGTGCTCATTGATATGCATTTGATCACCATAGATCAGTAGATATTATACATTACTATAGAAATGTAGGTTTGATACATTCAAGCCTAGCATCTTTTCAAGTAAGCCCAGTAACATAGTGATGTTCGTTCATCATTCGATCGAGTAGAATCTCGGCTTTCTAAAAATGAACAACTCGCCGAGAAATTTCGCCTTACCGTACTTTAGAATGCACACTCAAACGGTAGTAAAACTCAGTAAGAAGTGATTTGAAGCGAATTCAGACAAAATTCATCGGAAATCGCTCGTAAGGATAATTCCTTAAGAATTTTGAATTCTTTCCCTTCCTGTACAAAAAATTTCTTAAGATATTTAGTGTCGGGATTGAGATTGTACATTCTTCTCGGATTTATTCAATAGATAGTCTCTAACTTCCACTATTCGGTTCACTTTGTTTGCGCACTGAAAATTCTGTGCTTTAGTTCCTTTCAGTAGTTTGAAATGAAATTCGTTTTATGCTTTGATTAAATAAGTAAATATTTCAGAATGCTATAACTTTTTTTGCAATCATCAGCAGTGTTTATTCGATTGTGTTTCATAAATTGTTCAGTGCAAGTTGAAGATATTAAATATTAATTGTATCGAACGATCGATCTCGTAATTATCAAAAATGAAGTTAGTTCAGATTTATAATTTTGCTCACAACTTCTTTGCTATGATCATTTGTTTCCTTTTTGCCTATATGTCATCCAGGAACCAGAAATACGTGAAAATGTATTTTCAGGATTGATGTGGACGGATTGGAAGTTTACTTTCCTTATGAATTCGTTTATCCGGAGCAAATTCTTTACATGGAAGAGATCAAGAAAACACTTGATGCGCAGGTAAAAACTTGTGAATTCCCCTAAATTAGCAAATTTTCTTCCCCTGAACATCCCTCACCGACTCCATTGATAGTGAACTCAGTGTTTCTGAATATTTCTGAGCCGTCTTGCACTTCCCTGAGCTGTTTCCCAACTAACATCTGAATGTTATAGCAAACAATAAAATGGCAAAGTTTCATTAATTTTGAGTTGATCACCGTCAACTTTCAGGGTCATGGTTTACTTGAAATGCCTTCGGGTACCGGTAAAACAGTCTCATTGTTATCACTGGTCGTGGCATATATGCTCAAATATCCGGATCGTTTGGATAAATTGGTGTACTGTTCGAGAACAATCCCTGAAATTGAGAAGTGTGTTGAAGAGCTTCGCAATCTCTTCAAATACTATGAAGTGGTTATTGAGGTTCGTAGTTGATTTCAGTAGTTTTGCATGTATGGCATCAAACAATGTTGAATCGGCATTTTTATTGTGAGAATTACTTTTTTGGATACATTATTGTTGCCAGCTTCTTTGATTTCATATGGTCACCTAAGTTAATGTTCCTGTTATGAAGGACATGTGAAATATTTTTGCGAGTTGCTTATTATGCGTTTTTTTTCATTTCTTATTATTTTCTGCGATGATTCTCTGATTCATTGATTTATACTGCATTTTAAATCAGCTTCTTAAACCTCTCGAAAGAGTCAGTAGAAAATTTGAACCACAACTAAATTCGAGTATTGAAGATAATTTTGTCAATTAGAAGAGAAAATGTTCCTGACCATACCGTCGAACTGTGGTATTACCTTTGATAAAAGACATTTTATTTTTCAGAAACGAGTGAAATTGCTTGCTTTGGCGGTCTCGGCTCGAAAGAATCTTTGTATAAATGAATCAGTTGCTAATTCTCGCAACGGTACCGCAGTAGACGGAGGATGTCAACGGTTGGTTTTTCAGTTATTTCGTTTTTTCTCATTCATTTCGGAACATCTGAGTTCACCGAGAAACAGTGAATGCTCTGTTCAGTTTAACGGCAAGTTTCATGCGCGCGAAACGAAAGCTAGAGCCCGACCTACCGGAATGTTCGTATTTTGAGAAATACGATGCTCAACGAGACGTCACTCTACCGACTGGAGTATACAATTTAGTAAGTTTCATTCGTTATAAATTCTTGCTCTTTACTGCTTTATAATGAATAATTTTTTTTNTTTTTTTTCAAACGTTGGTAAGCTATCCATAAAATGAAAATGTTATGGTTCTCTTAAGAAATGCACATCTTCGATGTAGCAGCGAAAATTTATTCAAAACCTTTTCATACATTCGTTACGTTCTAGTCAGATTTACGGAAATGGGGTCGTGAGAAAGGGATGTGTCCGTATTTTGTGGCAAGGGCGTGTGCGGATCGAGCCAATATAATTATCTACTCTTATCATTACATATTGGATCCAAAAATTGCCGAGCTGGTTTCAAAGAATTTCAGTCGACGGTCTTGTGTGGTTTTTGATGAGGCCCATAATATTGGTTGGTTTCTGAGAGTTTATCTGTGTATCGTCCGTCTCGAATTGCAATAGAATTTTACTTGTTAATTTCTAAGAGTCCAAATTATACCATAGAATTGGAGAGATCTGAGTGAATGAATAGACCATAAAATGAAATTTGAAGTGTTATTTGATGTTATTATTTGGGTGAACGGTTGTTTTAGTTGAAGTTAATGTGCATTTCTGTTAATATGCAGATAATGTATGCATTGAATCGATGAGCGTTTCGCTAACCAAATCAACAGTTGAGAAGGCTTCAAAACGACTCGATCTTTTGGACGAACATATTCAGAGGTTTGTTAGCCGGATTTTTGTTTTGTTATTATTGTTCAATTTTCGGAATTATATCAAAATGGTGTTAATGAATATTCTTTTAGGTTGAAGGAGGAGAATAGCGAACGTTTACAAGGTGAATACGATCGTCTGGTTGAAGGTTTGAGACAAGTGGAACAGGAACGGGCCAACGACCAAATTCTTTCAAGTCCAGGTGAGTAGCCATCTTCATGAATCTATCTTTTTCGTGGACAAATTTTGGCTGACAATGAGAGCTGTAATATGCGACTGATTCATTGGTATTTTGCTACTTAATATTGGGATCAGTCCACCTTGTCGTATTATGCATTAGTGAGAAATTCGTCATATCTCGAAAAAATTTCGTGTTTTCTCCGTTTGTCTGGACTGGTTGGACTATTGTCTGTTTGTGTAAATCGAATAATCACAGTGTTTGTTGTGGTAACGGTTGATCATAAATTACTTCTCTTCACTTTATAGGTAGACGAGAACAGTGTTAGCGGTATCTTTCAGTAAGTTATTAATGATCGCTCCATATCGATAAATCAGCAGTTGTTTTGTTGTAGTGTTACCGGATGCAATATTGCAAGAGGCAGTGCCGGGAACCATTCGAACCGCACAACATTTCACAAATTTCATACGCCGTTTCATAGAGTACTTGAAGTATCGAATGCGTTCCACATCGGTCATCATTGAAAGTCCTGCAGCGTTCCTTTTTGATGTACAAGAAAAAATGTTCATCGAGAGAAGAGCTTTAAGGTATGCACGTGGTGGTTCATGTGGTTGTGATAAGCACTTACATATTTTTGTATGAATTAGATCAAAGTATGCATTTAATTAGTTATTTTTTGAAGGAATCGGATGAAAAATGCCTTGATGTTAATATGATTCATTTTCTTAACCGATGCAATTTAGTTAATTGGCTGAATTTATTCTTAAAAATAATTTTTGGTATAATTTGTAGATTTTGTGCTGAGCGATTTGCCTCGTTGGCGAGGACACTTGAGTTGGCCGATATCTCAGATTTTGGTTCATTGGTTTTGGTGTCTAATTTTGCAACATTAATCAGCACTTATGCTCGAGGTTGGTTCATTTTTATGACTTTCGAGCAGTGTGAATAATATTTCGTTTGAGCCGTAATTACGCCGTGTTGTACTGCTCTCTTCGCGGGTTCTGTGAATTTAGATGATTTCAAATTTAGGTTTCTCACTGATAATTGAACCATTGGACGAGAAGAGTGATGCGGCACATAGTTGTACATTGCATTTGAGTTGTATGGATGCATCGATTGCAATTCGACCGGTCATGCAACGATTCCAGACGGTGATCATCACTTCAGGGGTTTGTGTTCTCACCGTTTTTGTCTCGATTTGTCTACTTAACATCGCAAGAGCAAAAAAAATTTTTGGTGTTGTATCAGCGTTTCATGAGCGTTTTTGTTTTCGATACAAAAAGTTCGATGAACTCACATCAGCGATGAGAGGATTTATTTTCAGACACTCTCTCCGATCGATATGTATCCGAAAATTTTGGATTTTGATCCGGCCATAATGGCCAGTCTCACGATGACGCTCGCAAGACCGTGTGTTGCTCCTTTAATCGTTTCTAAAGGTATCGTTTTATCCAAAAGCGTTGTTCATCTGTTAATGTTTGTGTGAGGTATGTTAAGAAATTGTTTAAAATGTTGTACTTGAATTGAACAAATGCATCATTTGAACAAAAAAACAAAAGAAGTTTGAATTGTGAACAATCAGGAGAATTTTTTTATTTTTTTTTTAGGAAATTAGGAAATGTTTAGGAAATTTAAGAAAAGCTTTTCTCAGGTAATGACCAAGTGGCGATTACATCACGTTTTGAGTCTCGTGACGACGCTGCTGTTATCCGGAATTACGGAAACTTGGTTCTGGAAATGGCGTCGATCGTTCCCGATGGTATGGTTGTGTTCTTTACGAGTTATTCGTACATGGAGAATGTGGTGGCAACGTGGTACGATCAGGTTCGTTCTCTTGTGATACTTTTCCACTCGTTATTCTTTAAAGATTTCATTGTATTGTTTAAAAATTATTCTGTCCTTGATGTTGTCTGGTGTATTGTTATCAAAGTGTTTCGTAGGATTTCATATTTTTCAATTTTTGGTGCTTAACACGACTGTAGAGACTAGTGCAATGACACGATATGTAAAACGATTGTCTTCTTTTGATAACATGAAAATATTTTATTGATATAGAGTGAGTGATGATAAAATTGTTTCAAGCGTATCATTGATGAGCTAATGAAATATAAACTGCTGTTCATCGAAACAACCGATGCACTGGAGACGAGTGTTGCACTTGAAAAATATGTTGAAGCGTGTGACTCTGGTCGAGGTGCTGTGCTCTTCTCTGTTGCTAGAGGAAAAGTGAGTGCTATCAGTTGAGATTTATTGTTTAAATAAAATTTATCAAATTTTGATAAAATGCATTCAACTACGAGAAATGATCATAAGCAGTCGTGAAAATACCTTTTTTAGAAGTTTTGGTTCATGGTAGAAATTCATATGATTATGAGAATTTCATTCAGAGCAGTTGTTTGTTCTCGTTCAGGTATCCGAAGGTGTTGATTTTTCACACCATCTTGGTCGAGCGGTTATTATGCTTGGTATACCGTATGTTTATACAGAAAGTCGTATATTGCGCGCTCGTCTCGAGTATCTTCGTGAGCAATACGGAATTAAGTGAGTGATTTCTAAATTTGTAATGATTACGAATGACTGAATAAACTTTTGAAACTTAAATCAATTTGAAAGCAATGATTTTCCTTTATGATTTTGATTTGAATGATTTTTTGATTTGTGTCTGAATAATTAAAAAAATAGAAATTTGATAAAATTCTAGTTTCGTCTAAATAATTTTAGAGAAAACGATTTTCTGACGTTCGATGCAATGCGACATGCAGCACAGTGTGTGGGACGTGCGTTACGTGGAAAGACTGATTATGGCTTGATGATATTTGCTGATAAAGTGAGTGATTGCCTTGAGTATTTTTATGTAATCTTTGAATGGTCTTGCAGAACCTTTCTCCTGTTCGCATAGGAAAGGTTTGATTGAAACCGAGTGATATGTATCAATGTCGTGGATGTGTTGCTGAGCTTGAGCCAGACTACGATTCGGCTTGTAGGGGCGATATGATTTGTCATATTTGCAATTGTGTTGCTTACAGAGGTTCGCGAAAAAAGACAAAATGGGTAAACTACCGCGTTGGATCCAAGAATATCTCACTCCCGGTAATATCAATTTGAGTATTGAGGAGGCTGGCATGATGGCTCGAAGGTGTGTGCGTTTTGATTGCTTTTCTTGTCTCCATTCAATTGGTATGGTTGTAGCTTTTTCGAATCGATTTGAAGACTTTCCGAATAGCGTAAAAAAGTTTCGTAATCCTTCAAATTGAATGTCTGAAATTCGGTGACACTTTGAAATCTCATTTTTAGATGGTTACCGTTGATGGCACAACCGTTCACGAAGAGCGATCAGTTGGGTATAGCGGTGTTGAGAGAAGATATGCTTGATGGTGACCAACCAATCAGTAAACGATTCAATCATGTACTGCAAGAAATCGACTGATCCGCACTTTTCACATCGTATCTTATTGTTCAGTGGAATGATGTCTTCGAAAGGAATTCCTGCCTCATTTCTCTTGTGAAATTTATATCTTCCTAGCACAACTCTCAATAGTATGGGTGCATCGTTGATAGGTTCTCAAAGAAATTGTGCGTG